TCCTCCTCATCTATATCACCAGCCTGGACCATATCCCTATCCCTATGATTGGCATCGCCTCATCTCGATGCCGATCTTAGGGATTCCCTCCGTTTCTGAGGGCGCACCCCTAAGATTGTCGTCGACTGTTGGTCTGTAAATCATGGGGATAGGGATACGTTCGAGGCTGGTTAATCCAGACCGTGACGCCGTGGAGCTGCCCGCGCATCGGTCCGCGCAGGCATCGCTCGAGGTGGCCCCACTCGGACGCTCATTCCAGCGGATCCATTCCGGAAATAGCTCTTGGGCCCCCCTGGGGTCTTCTCGGGGCCATGTTGAAGTTCCTTGGCAGGCTTCTGGGGGCCTCGAGGGCACCGAAACAAACCCAAGGACCAACCGCAGTGGGGCATCAGAAACGGCCGTGTCACATGCGCGTCATTCTGGCGCATTTTCCGGCCCTGTCCAGGTCCTTCGTGGAAGCCGTTGCAACGTTTGCACTCGGTCAGTGGCGGCTGTTGTGAAGAATTCGCTCTAGCTTGACAATCCCGACAGGGGTCGGGGGAGTTGTGGAACGACGAGGTCGCGTCACTCCAGGTGGCTTTGGTGTTTCGGGTCTCAGGCGCCGCATTTGGCAATGGCAGCGAGGCCGGGCCGAATGGGGGCGAGAGTGGCCGTTGCGCGGCGGCGAGGCCCCTCGGGCTAGTCCTGCCAGCCATTGCAGCCGCCCGCCGAGGCGCATCGCGGTCTGTCGTCAGGCCAACCCACCACACAGGCACACTTGCACATCTTGTCCTGTCACGTCGTCCCAACCCCTTTCACAGACGCGCATCATCTATGGATCTGTAGGAGGGCCCCCCTTCGATTGCACAGTTCCCCTCGTGATGTGTAGAAGCAGAGCTTCCCGTCGGCGTTTGTCTTGCGCAGGTCCTCTGTGCGCGCGTAGAGATAAGGCTGCGTCCTGAGGGCGCGCGCGGGCGCCAGCGCGGACGAGGCCAGGGGTGGCGGCAGTCGCGGTTCAGGGCGGCCGCCTTATGCAGTTCGCCGTGGCTGGCGGGTTTCCCCGGCCAGGCCCCCGCCCTGCCCCGGTCCGGGAGCAGGCGGGGGATGGGCGAAATGGGTGAAGGGGGGAGGGGCCGAAGGGGAGGGGCGGCGGTCGAGTGGGAAAGAACAGAATGGCAGGAGGGGGGGGGGGTGCAAACGCAAACGAAGCGGGGCACTGACGCGGAGGGGGGGAGGGGAGGAGGCATAGGGGGAAAGAGGTGCAAGAAACGACAGGCGACGATGTGGGGGGGGAGTGGCGGGGGCGGGCAGGGGCGTGGCTTGGGGGCGCGAAAGCAAGAAGAAAGGGGGCTTAGCAGGTTGCCCGGGCCCCCATCGTTGGGAAATTTCCCGACGACGAAAACATACCGCATTTTCGCCTCTCGCATCGCGGTGCCCCCCCCGGATTTCCGAGGGGGCCCCGCGGCGGGAAGCGTGGGGCGGCAGGAGGACGTTGCCAACGTGTTGTTTCCTGGGGCCCTTTGGTGGCGCCTGCAGCGTTCTCCGGTGCCCCCGGGGCCGCGCTGGCCCCCCCCGCGGCACCTTCATGGGGTTCTCTTGGGCGATGTCAGCGCCGCGCTTGGGTTTCAAATGTTATTCGGAAGCGAATGAGGCGAGGAGGGCCTCGTCGCTGGCTCGATTTCGGATGGGGGGTTGTCGGGGCCTCTTGGTGGTGTCCCTGCGGTATTCCGTGGCCTATGGGAGCTGTCGCGTGGCGTCGTTGAATGCGCGTGGCGGCGTTGAATGCGCGTTGAATGCGCGTTGGAAACTAGCTTGAACCGCGTTGGGCGATTTCAAAACAGTCTCGAGGCTATGTGCGGGCTTCTCTGGGCCCATGGTTGCGCCGTCGCAACCCCCGAAGCACCCGACGCTTCGCGAGACTCTAGCCTAGACTGCGCATGAGGGATACGAGGCGGGGCAACCCTAGTAGTGGTAGTAGTAGTAGTAGTAGTAGTAGTAGTAGTAGTAGTAGTAGTAGTAGTAGTAGTAGAAGTAGTAGTCGTAGTAGTAGAAGTAGTATAGTCGTAGTAGTAGAAGTAGTAGCAGTAGTAGTAGTAGTAGTAGTAGTAGTAGTAGTAGTAGTAGTAGTAGTAGTAGTCGTCGTCGGTCGTCGTATAGTAGTAGTAGTCGTTAGTCGTTAGTCGTAATTCGTAGTAGTAGTAGTAGTAGTAAGTAGTAGTAGTATTAGATCGTAGTAGTAGTAGTAGTAGTAGTAGTCGTGTAGTTAGTGTCGTAGTAGTAGTAGTAGTAGTAGTAATAGTATAGTAGTAGAGTAGTCGTAGTAGTATAGTAGTAGTAGTAGAAGAGTCGTAGTAGTTAGTAGTAGTAGTCGTAGTAGTAGTCGTAGTTCGTAGTCGTAGTCGTAGTAGAGTAAGTAGTAGTAGTAGTAGATAGTAGTAGTAGTAGTAGTAGTTAGTAGTTAGAGTCGTAGTAGTAGTAGTAGTAGTAGTAGTAAGTAAGTAGTAGTAGTAGTTAGTAGTTCATCTTGAGTTAAAGAGGTAGTAGTAGTATTGTGAGTAGTAGTAGTTAGTAGCAGAAGCAGCAGCCAGCAGCAGCAGCAGCAGCAGCAGCCAGCAGGAGTAGTAGTAGTAGTAGTAGTAGTTAGTAGTAGGTTAGTAGTAGTAGTAGTAGGTTAGTCGTAGTAGTAGTAGTAGTAGTAGTACTAGTTGTAGTAGTAGTAGTAGTAGTAGTAGTAGTCGTAGTCGTATCAGCATTAGCAGCAGCAGCAGCAGCAGCTGTAGCGAGTAGTATTAGTAGTTATAGTAGTAGTAGTAGGTAGTAGTTAGTTAGTAGTAGTGGTAGTAGTTAGTAGTAGTAGTAGTAGTAGTAGTAGTAGTAGTAGTAGTAGTAGTAGTAGTAGTAGTAGGAGTAGTAGTAGTAGTAGCAGTAGCAGTAGCAGTAGCAGTAGCAGTAGCTGTAGCTGTAGCTGTAGTAGTAGCAGTAGCTGTAGCAGTAGCAGTAGCAGTAGCAGTAGCAGTAGCAGTCGCAGTAGCAGTAGCAGTAGCAGTAGCAGTAGTAGAAGGAGGAGGAGGAATACTCAGAATAAGAATGATAAGATTATCAAGAAGAAAAAGCATAAGACTACGAATAATACTACCCAAACTAATAATAAGACACATCATACACATAATTGTATTACTCATAAGATTGATACTACTAATGCTAATAATGATAATCATAATACTAACAATAATAATACTAAGAAGAAGACTACCACTATTCATAAAAAAACATAATAGTCATACTAAGAAGAAACGATTGATACTAAGAAAAACATTCATAATAATAAGAAGAAGTATAATACTAATAATACTAATAACAAGAATAATGATAATACTAATAAAATGAAGAACAGGAGGATGAGGAGGAGAAGGAGGAGGAGGAGGAGGAGAGCTGGGGGGGAGGAGGCCGAGGCGGATCTGGATGCAGAGCCGCTGCCGCTTCCTGGAAGGCGCCCTCGGTGACCCCGACATCCGCGCGGGGCGATGCGCCGACGTCGGCCAGAGCTGGAGGCGCTTGAGCGGGCATGGGCGGGCTGGGCAGACCCGGGCCCGGCCGGCCACGGCGCTGCTGCCCTGTCTCGATGAATGGCTAGACGTACGAGTGACCTTTCGCCGGAGAGACCTTGGTGCGGGCCCATTGTTCGACGGGCCCCAGACCCCGTCGAGCAATGGAAAAATCACGACGGGATTTTCTTTTAGATAGCTGACTGGTTTCGGCCTCGGGGGCCCTTGCTGGGCCTCGGGACCGTCAACACAATGACTCAGGGTGAAAAGCCGGTCCCAGGGAAGAGGTCGAAACCTCTGGGGGCCACCACGCTGCAGAGTGGGGTCCCCGATGACCGAACGCGAGGCGGCAGTGGCGTCTTGCGCGCTTGTGCTTTGCGCCCCCCCCCCCGCGGCCCCCCCCAAAAGCCGCTCACCAGAGGTCACTCTTGCCCAGGGTCACTCTTGCGTGTAGCCGACTGTCCTCCTGGGTCTCTCCCCTGTCGAGCAGTGACGAAGCGTTCTGGTTTACCTACCAAAGAATGTTCTAAGAACCGTCTGTGGCTTGCACGAGGACATTTCTGGTTGAGGCTGTCTTGTGTTAACACGCCAGGGTTATGTTCTGAGAACATTGTTGTGTTCCTAGGGCAAGTTTTGGTTCTACGAACATGTCGTGGTAGGCCTACAGGAAAGTCGGTACGGTCGCTCCCTGCTCAACTGTCCTCCTGGGCCTCTCCCCTGTGAATACACCTCCCTCGCGCGCAGCTGACCCTCGTGAGCACCGCGGAGGAACGAAGGAGGAGAGAGAGAGGTAGTCAGATCGGGTGGGCTCATGGCCGGGATCAATCATTCCAGAACGTTCCCGAACGATCTTAGGGCCTTTTGAAGCGCTCTGGAATGGCCGCGGCGACCGATACGTCTTCCACACCCGCCGTATCTCAGATATCCCTCACTTGTCCTGGTTCGATTTTGCCTCGGTCTTGGATTCTTCTGGAGGGAGAGAGAGAGAGAGAGAGAGAGAGAGTGATACTGAAATTGAGAACAACATCAACGGGAACAGCGGCCCGACTACGTGCCACCCCCGAAGGGTTATGAGTTGGATGAGCGAGGGGGCCATAATGGACAGGACGAGGGAGGAGGAGGATGAGGAGGAGGAGGAGGAGCAGGAGAAGCAGGAGGAGGAGGAGGAGGGAGAAAGAGTTGCCCAGCGATGCACCCGCACTGGCACGAGGGCACGAAGCGTGCCGATATCTTGGTGCGTCTAGGGGTCAGTGCGCGCCGTCACAACGTTTGCACAACCATGAGCCGCGCAACCGCTTCTCCCAAACGGAACGCCATTCGTCCTCGTTCACGCGTCTCCTACGTTGTTGGCTTCAGATCAGTGGCGTCATCCCCTGTTGCCGGTTTTACCGAGTCACTTTGGACGGACCAGGGCCAACGCCATGATGCCTGATGAATAATGCGGGATGCATTGAGAGTTTTGATGATGTGCTCGGCTGCAAGCGCGTCTTCTCCAGGGGGCTGTTTCGGAGGCGTAGAGGTTGACACCAACACCAATATCGGCGATGTGCCTCCACCGAGCGAATATGATCCCGATCTCGGTGATGGTGGTTTTCTTCGGGCTTCCAATGTAGCCGAGAGGTTACCACCAACACCAACATCTAGGATCGCCACTCCCTAGTGGAGGCAACCCTCGGTGTTGGTGTTGGTGCCCATTTCTAAGCCTGCTGGCTTTCCGTAGACCTGCCGGACCCCGCGCCGTCGCCGTGGATCTCTGGCCAGCTCGCTTCGTGCGCCCGGTGTGCTCTCGGTGTGTGGCCAGAACGGCAAGGACTGGCCCCCGGGGGCCCGGGAGGGGGCGCTGCTGGCGAACGGACTTTGCAGCAGCTCGAGGCCTGCCTGGATCCGTCGACCATGTCGTGAGCGGGCCCTGCCCTGGGAGGTCCAGAAGGGCCCACAGCACCCAGGCGGGGACAGGCAGCTTCGCGAAGCGACTGCGCAGGTCACAGGGCCCAGTGCGAGCAGGAGCTTCTACCCGCCAGCTTCTGACGACTCGGAATGGTCCACAAGGAACTCGGCTGCCGCTATGGCGCGGGGAACCGGATCTTCGCCGTGTGATGCTTCAGATCTCGAGGTCGCATTTGTTCGATTTTCGTCACAGCCTGGTTTTAGTGGGGGTCGTGTTTTCTTTAGGTGTCCTTCGCTCTGAGGAGCTGGGCACACACTAATCCTCACCCTCATCCTCGCAAGTGTCTTGACCCTTGGGCAGATGGTGCGGTCCGTAACGACGTGATGCGATACGACATTGTAGGCGAGGTTGGTCAGTGAAAGTGAATCCACTTGCGCTTTCTCAAAAGGAATCCCTCTGCCCGCATCGGAAATGGAGTGTCGCAGAAACCAGAATCCAGGCCACGCCGTTAATCGACTGGCCGCACCGCTTGCCTGGCCTGGGTGACCGTACTGACGATAATCGCCATGCTCGCTATCTCTCTGGCACCGAAAGGGGCAGTTACGTTGCCGGGTAATTCGATCTTTTAGGAGGTCCCGGGTGGCAGCCGCTTTTTCCCGCTTCCCAGCAGGATCCAGGGAAGAAGCACAATGGCCATGACCGAGAGATTTTGTCGACCCCGTTTTTGGTCATGATACATGCTGGCCCTCGTTGATTCCCGAGTGTGATCCACGAGTCGACGGTGACAAAGACACGATGACCAAGGTCGACAACGACGCAGCGCTCTTCGAAGGAGATGTTCGGGTGGTCTGTGGCGCGCATGCGGTCTGGATCAGCATGCGCGCCACGAGTGGTGTAGACTTGCAGTGCCCCGCTGGCCGCCCTTCTCAACGATAGTCTGCTGTTGGTCGCTTCTGGCTTCTGGTGCTGGGAATGAAACGTTGATGCATTGACGTGCAAAGGTTTGGCCAGGCCTCCATGAATGGGTCGTGGTGGTCTTCTGGGCCGTGAAAAAGGGTGTTCTGGCCATGGCCTCCCCTGTCGCCTGCGGGGCGTTTGCCTCGCGTCTGCGCGGGGCGCTCCGCGCCTGGCGCACCTGCGCACGTGGCGCGCCCGTCATTCCGGGGGTCGGTGGCGAGCTTGGTGCGCTTGGGTTGAGTCGGGCCTGTCCCTCTACAGGAGGAATCTGGAAAAAAATAGTTAAAACATAATCTGGGGAACATGGTTCTAGTACTGGTTGACTATCGTGCAGTATTCTTGGGGCATTTTCGGAGTTTCGTCGAACATTTGCTTGTGGGGGGACATGCCCGACTTCACGCTTGGGGCACCTGGCGCGGCTGGCGCACCAGGCGTGCGCCGCGCAGCTCGCGCGTATCGGGCGCAAGCGGCGCGCCTGGCACGCAGGCGCACCTCGCGCGCCTGCGTGCCTGGCGCGGCTTCCAGATCTTGACTTGACTCGCGCTGAGTGCGCGCCGCAGGGGAGCAGGAGGAGGAGGAGGAGGAGGATGGAGGAGGGATGCGGGGGATTTGATGAAGATGAGATTCCAATGAGAGGGGTCAGTTGCGGAGGGATCTGGGGGCGGGAAGGGCGAAACAGAGGGGGAGGAGGAGGACGACTGATGGGAGGGCAGTAGGATGATGGATCTGCGAGGGGCCAGGGCGAACAAATGCTCGGGGCGGGTAGAAGGGGGGAAGAGGTTCAGGACAGGGGCATTGAAAGGGAAGGGCAACGAGGCGGGAGGAGGAGGGTGATGTAGCGTTCCCATTGGAAGCATGCCCCTGGGAAGCATGCTTTCGCTGGCTCGCATATGCCCCCCCGCCCCCTCCCCGCGTTTGATTTGTTGTTCATTTACGTACATGTTTAGCACATGCATGTATATATGTATGTATGCATGTCTGCATGCATGTATGTATGCATGTATCGATGACTGCATGTACATGTGTATGTGTATATGTATGTACGCATGCATGTACTGTAATGGAGTGTAGTGCACTGTATTGCATTGTAATGTAATGCAATGTAGTGTAATGTAAGGTAATGTAATGTAATGTAATGTATTGTAATGTAATGTAATGGAATGGAATGGAATGTAATGTAATGTAGTGTAGTTCAATGTAAGGTAATGTAACGCATTGTAATGTATTGTAATGTAATGTAATGTGATGTACTGTTATGTGGTGTAATGTAATGCAGTGTAGTGTATTGTAATGTATTGTATTGTCATGTAATGTAATGTAATGAAATGTGATGGAATGTAATGTAACGTAGTGTAATGTACTGTAGTGTGAAGCAATGCCATGTAATGTAATGTAATGTATGGGTGCTTGTATGTGTGTGTGTGTATATATGTATGCTTGTATGTGTGTATGTATGTATGTATGCATGCATGCATGCATGCATGTATGTATGTATGTATGTATGTATATCTACCTATAAAACTGTTGGCACTGGAGCTCTCGATTTCAACAACCCTCCAATGGATTTCGCGTCATGGGTCGTTCCGTGTTGGTCCACGGGCCTGGGTGGATCCGTGGCCCTTTCGGCACAGGAGGAGGGGAGACGGATGAGGATGGTAGAGAAGAGGCAGGACGATTGACAGGATGTGGAGAGAGACGCAGAGGAGGACTCATGCGATGAGGAAGGGCGGCCCGCAGAGAGGGGGGGGCTGAGGGGGAAAGACTCGTGGGCCTCTTGGGGTTATCCTTGAGTCGGGCCTGTCCTTTTACAGGAGGGGTGTCCAGCCATAGCCAACAAATAGTCGGGGGACGATGTTTTGACAATTGTTGGCAATCTTTGATTTGGTTTGGGTATTTTTGGCTTTTCATCCAACATCGCATGTAGGGGGACAGTCCGACCTCAGGTTATCCCTGGGCCGTGCGCGAACTATTTTGGAGGCCCTGTGGGTTTCCTTGGGGCCGCTTTCGGCCCCCCCTCCCAGGCTGTTTTCCAGGGAGCCGCGGGGGCCTGCTCGGGTCCATGTTCGATGCCTTTGCGAGGTCAGGGTTCGGGGATGCGGGCTTCGCTGCGGCCTTCCTGCCTGCTGCCGAGACTTTTTGCGGGGGGTGGGACCCTGATCGG